ATAGTTATGAAGCAGACCTAGAAAGTCACCAGGCCCAGCTCAGAAGGAAGTCAAGTTCTGAGACCGTCTGCATGTAGGAATATTTCTAAGAAAATTCCAGAATGCACAAATTACACAATATGTATAATCTTGCCATACCTCTTGGCAGGTCATGTGACAGAAACATCTGTAATAACTTGAATAGATCAAATCTCCAAAAACTTGGGTCACTTTTTTTTTAACATTTTATTTTATTCAAAAGCCAGAGTGGTAAGAGAGAGGAAAAGACAGAGAAAAATCTTTTTTTATACACAATTCTCTCCTCGAATGGCCCTAACAGCTGGGTTTGGAGCTAGCATGAAGCCAGGAACCTGGAGCTCATCCCGGGTCTGCATGGGTAAATGGGCCAAATATTATGGCCAACTTCTACTGCCTTTTCAAGCAGGGAAATGGATCGGATGTGCAATGCCTGGGACCCAATGTGCAATGCTGGCATCACAAGCAGCTGCTTAACCAACTGTGCAACACACAGCACCTTGGATCATTTCTTATAGCAGAACACAGAAATTCATAAAAACTAGTGTCAGGACCAAAATCCATGTGCAAGTTGCAGCTTAGACTCAGTAAAACCATCATTACCATAAAAAACTAATAATGGTAATTTGATTGCATTTACTAATTTTGTGGAGCTTTTTAAAATTTTTTATTTTATTTTTGTTAGAAAGTCAGAGAGGAGGAGAGACAGAGAAGATCTTAGGGAGTGATGATTCACTCCCCAAGTGGCTGCTACAGCTGGAGCTGCGCTGATCCAAAGCCAGGAGCCAGAAGCCTCTTCTGGGTCTCCCAGACAGGTGCAGAGTCCCAAGGCTTTGGGCCATCCTTGACTGCTTTCCCAGGATACAAGCTGGGAGCTGGATGGGAAGTGCGGCTGCCGGGATTAGAACCAGCATCCATATGGGATCCTGGTGCGTGCAAGGCAAGGATTTTAGCCGCTAGCTAAAATCTCTTTTGTGGAGTTTTAAAGTAATACATTTTAAATTTATATTGTATAATTATTGTACACCTAAGAAACATACCTGTTTTCATATTTGTATATATTGATCCAAACAATAACTTAGTTCAATCATGGTGAATTTTTTTCCTTTTTGATTAACTTCAACATTATTGATGCAGTTGTGCTCCACACCAAAATAAGGTGTATAAATTTGAGATGCAGTGGCTCATTCCTTGTATTTATTGACAGTTCACCACAATCAGATCCAGAATACAGTAAGTACAGAATCAGAAATCACTAAGTATACTCAACCTGTATCAATCATCAAGTGCATATTAACCTTAAAAGAAAATACCTTTTGCTTTCATCAATTTTAGTTCACCACTTTCTTATCATGATGTAATGAAGTTTGACTGCTGAAATCACCAACATTTCTTTTCCCTGAACTCTACTTGTTAGCACTCATCTATATATAACTTATGCCTTCCCTGAACTAAGAGAAAGGAGTAGGAGAAAGCTTGAGGGTGAAATATTGTAAGTTCCTCTTGCTTCTGTAACAATTTACTACAAATTCAACAGTTTACAGGCAACACAAATTTATTATTGTATGGCTTGACAAGAAAGAAATACAAAATGAGCAGAACTGAGCTAAAATTCACATGCCAGAAGGATCACATTTTGCGGGGCAGGGGAGGGACAGGGCAGCACCTATCTCCCTGGCTTTTCTAGTTTCTAGAACCTCCTGAATTCCTTGGCTCACTGCCCAAAGCATTGTGATGTCTAGTTTGGTCGTCAATCACCTTTTCTAACCCTGATCCTCTCACCTTACCCTCTTAATTACCAGAACCCCTGTGATTACACCGGACCAATCTGAATAATCCCGAATCATCTCGCCGTCACAAGGTCCTTGACTTAATCTCAGCCGCAAAATCCTTTTTTGCCATGTCAAATTACATAAAAAGGCCAAGGATTAGGGCACATAGTTTGGGTGACAATATTCAGCCTGCTACAAGGGGTGCCACTTTGTCCAGCCTGTGCCCTAAAGCAGAAACTCCGGTAAGAATCTACTTTGGAAAAGTAGGAAGACATTGTTCAGAAACTGAAAGGAGAATAGATGTGGGAGAGTATTCCACAGTGGTGGGAAGGAGGTTCTTAGTCTGAGGAGGATTAGGGAATACTTGGTTTTCAAAGGAGTGGAAAAGCTGCTCTGGAATTGAGAAATTCCTAACGAGGGAGGATAAAATACACTGCCACTGAAGGGTTTATCCAAGCTGCAGCGCAGCCACCTGGGAAAGACTGGGCACATCCTAGTCACCACGCACGTGAATGTGACTCCCAGCTCCAAAAACAGTCACTTCCTTTCTATGGCAAAGTTGGGGACACCAGGATGGCAGTATTAGAATTAATGTGGCTCTACTGATCTCTGCCGAAAGGAACAACAGTGAAAATCATACTTACAGAGGGATTATCTACTCAGAGCTCAAATTTTTCAAAGAACAAAACATGGAGAGCCTGATAAGATCTGCCAGCTGTTGCTCTTTCCTCAATTATTTCCCCAGCCACAGCGATTGAATCTTGGGTGGATTTCTCTCTTGCTGTGTCATAAGAGGCTCCTCTCCCCACCCCCTCCTGCTCCCTCTTGCTGCCTTCACCAATGCGTGTGTGTGTGCGTGTGTGTGTGTGTGTGTGTGTGTGTGTATTTGGTTTCTCTCTCTCTGTAAGGACACAGCCTGCCCGCCTTCTCCTGCTGTTGCTGCCGCTCTGCCTTGCTTCTTGCTGCTCCTTTCCTCTCCTTTCTCTTTCCTGCTTAGGCTCCTTGCCTTCTGGTAAGTATGACAAACACTCCCCCAAACCCTGTGAGATGTAGGGTGTGGTTTGTGGTGCTCGAAACTTGCAACTTTGAGACTGCCAGTGAACTGTTGAAGAACTTTCCATTGCTGAATTTGTAATTAAAATGTATCACTCGGGAAGGGCTGTGTGAGAGTCCACTGGGACTGCCAGTGCAAGGGAAATGTACTCTCAGAGGAGGGGAGGAAAACACAACACAGCTCACACCAGATAAAAGTCAGAAATAACTGCTTGCCATAAAAATAATTTCTATAAAAGGATTCATTTAAATGCAGCAAAGGTTTTTTTTTTTCTTTTTACTTGTTGATTTGTATTGTGACTACTTTTAGAAACTGAGTTGCCCTGTGGTTTGTGTTAATTGAGTTACTCTGCCTTTTAAAGTCAATTTGGAAAAGGAGTTTAAAGAATATCTGTGGAACAGACATCAATGATAGTAACATCTGAAGAATGAAGAATAAATGAAATACAAATAAAACATGTGCATGTTGACTAACTACACTAAAAACTTCTACCGAAACTCAATTTAAATTCACTGTTGGAGATTGGTTTCATTTAGGGTTGATTTTATTCTGAGATGGACTTCCCAACACTTTAAACCCCACATATGGGCTTAAATCAATAAATAAGTACTGTTTTCTACTTGATTTAAAAAGTATTCTCTTGAATGTTCAACGATGATGTGCTAAATGCCATGACTCATTTTAGAATAGCTTAAAATAACTTCTGGCTGGACAGCAGGTGCCATGTGTCTGAGTTTAGAGGAAGCATTAGTTATATATAGATGAGTGTGCCGAATAAGCAGAGAACAGGATCAAGAAATTCCGATGATGAAGACAATGAAGCTGCTGCATACATAATCTGATAAGCAAATGGTCAATTAAAATTGATGAAAGGAAAAAAGTACTTCCTTCCAACTTCAAGAACACTTTGCGACAGCCACAAGTGGGTGGCAATGTCTACATGGTGAATTTTCCATTCTCGTTAGTGTCCAAACATTTGAGATCTACAGCACTGAGATTAAAGGTAAAAAATTATGCAGTTGGTACAGCAAATGTGTTTTTCACATGGCCATCATGAGCAAAACCTGTAAATGATGAAGTGAAGATTTTGCCATTTTTTATGGTGCTAAGTAGCACTGTCACCATTAACTATCATTTACCAAAAAAAATGTACCAGAACTTAATGGAAAAACCCATACTGATTGTAAATCTAGAAATGAAAATAGGCAGAAACATTTGACTCAGCTTTGTCCCTTACTCCCAATTTCTTGTGCTATATTTCAGTTTTTTAGATTGTTCTTTCTCTCCCCATTTACTTGGGATTTCTCAAAAATTACTAAGTTTTCCTAGAGTTACTTGACTCGAAAGAGAAAGTGGTCATCTGCTTTTTTCGAAAAGAGATCCAGTCTTTATGTAGAAACTTAAGAAGTTACTATCATAAACATCACTCTATGTCCACACTGGTTGGGTTTTTTTCCACACTTTCCTTCACTGTCTTATTCCAAAAAGAGTGTTAAGAATGAGTCTCAGAAAAGGTCTTTTGCTGACTGATGGTTAATAATTTGTTGCTCATCTTGGAAAAAGAAAATAGTAGACAAGCAAGAAATATTTCCTGAATCATTAGAATAATTCATTTATATCCAAATATCTACTAACCAACTCTTGACTTACGGGTCTACATAAAGTTTAGGGAATTATTATTATGAATGATTTTTAGTAAGTTCATTGGTTATTTTAATAAATATTTTAGCTTTGAAAGAAAATTAATACCATTAACAATTAAACATTTGCAATGTATATACTTGTATGTCTCCAATGACTATGGATCTACGCACAATCATATAAAAATAGTAACATATGGCTCTTCCAAGTAAAATGACAAACACGGTTGTGGAAAGCAACATCATTGATTATTTTGCTAATATTCATAATAAGGGATCCTACTAAAAATCAAAACCAATAACATTCCGGTAGTATGACTCAGTTGGGAAATATGACTTCCCACTGTTTCTGCCTTACTAATTATAACAGCAATGATTTGTGAAAGGACATTCACTCTATGTTAGAAACTATAATTAGCTGTTATCATTTTGGGGTATACCCTTACCATCAATTTGCTTATGTAACTTGGTTAACTATAGAAAATCTAACTATGCTTACCACTAGATATCACTCATAGTATGGAGATTAATCACACTGAACAGCTACCAGCAGAAGCACAGTCAGTACCCCCAGAGGACAGCTCATCCTCACCCAGGCAGAATGGCCTCCAAACGCAAGAAGATTCAAATTCTGCAACCCCACTCCAAGTACCAGCACAAGAGGCAAGTGTGCACCCAGAAAAGAGGGCTCATGACATCTCTGAAGAGTTAAATCAGGAATTGGAGGACATCATAAGCACCTATGGGTCTGCTGCCAGTACAGTCGGGAAAGAGGGTCCTCTAGAGGCCACAGAGCAGCCTGAGAATGCAGAAGCACCCAACAGTGATGACGGGGACTGTGAAGACAACGCCCCAGATGCTGAAAGAGAACTTGTTGCTTCTGGAGAGCCATCCACAGTTAAAGGGCCAATCAGCCACAAAGAACAAAAACTGGAGAAGAAAATACTCAAAGGATTAGGTAAGTAGTTATGTTCTAACATATGACCTTTCTTCCCCCCCCCTTTTTTTATTGTCCAAACTCTACTAAAAGCCATATCTAATATTTGAATACTCTTATCATCTCCCTCAGGGTTGTCTTAGAGTCTGTCTTTCTTTGTTCCCAGCAGCAAAGCTTAAGTAAAGTTTTCAACATGTTACCCACTTTCTGTCTGCCCCAGCTGTTTCCCATTGCCTCATTATAAAGACTACTATTCTTTCTGTGCTCTTCAAGGAACTAATGGTCTAATCCTACCCAGTCCCAGCTTTATCTAACACCGTTCCACCTCTTAACATCCCCTTCCAAAGCACTGTCCTATTACCACAAACACCAATACTACCTAACAGCTGGTCACTGTGACCTTATTTTTCAGTTCCTTAAACATGCCATGCTCCACACCGCATAAAGTCAGTGCACATCCTAGTTTCTTCAAAATCTCTACCCATTTCACAATGTCAGTACCAAATCATCCCTTGGGGGCTTGATTCCTAGCCATCATTTAGCTTACAACTCAAACAGCATCACAGCCCCAAAGGAAGTCTTACTTTGTTTTCATTGTGATCTACATCTTCATATCACTTAGCAGTGTTTGAAATAACACATTTATTTTGTAATTATTTGGACAATATGTCTTCCTACTAGATATTTTAGTTGCAAGAACATGTACTGTGTATATATGAATGTCACTGGATGTCTCTTGCTTTGGACAGTTAGTGGCATATTTGAAATATTTAATATTTATTGTAAGATTGAATGAACAAATGAATAAATCAGTGGGAAAGTAGTTTGAAACAAATCTAGGAAGCTTAAACACACTATTAAAAGGAAAAGGGTGCTTCTATAATGATTGTCGACTATATTAATTGCTCACTATAATATTTTTGAGTCAGCAGATCTCATCAGGTAAAATATCAATTATAGATTACCAACAGCCACATAAAATATATATTTGTTCTATAATTAATCATTCAATCAATATTTATTAGTATTATTAGATATTTATTATGAATGTTTATTAATACTTAATCCTTATGAGACATTGACTGGGTAAACAAGATAAATATACCATGACTTTAAGTGAAAGACACATAAACTAATTGTTATAAAGTACAGGCACAAAAACAAATAGAAGACAAATTTTCAGAGTACATGGGGAACTGGTAACACCAAAAATATCTAGGAAAGAAAGAAAAGAAAGTTTTTATAGCTATGAGTGAAGTACGTTACTACCCATAGGAAAGTCCATCTAAAAATGTCACTGAAACACTCACGACAACTGCCACCTCCCATGTAATACTCTGCCTGGCATGCCCGGGTAGAGTACGCATCACCCTCTTTAGTTCTCTGTTAAATTTTCTGCAACAACCATTTGTTTATGGAACTGCCTACACGCTAGCAGGAGACTCTAATGGAAGCAGTGACCGCGTCTTAATTCTGGAAGATGGTGCAATAATGCAAATGCTCATGGAAACAAACTGTGCTCAAGGTCCCGTAATTCCTCACTCATGAGCCCAAAAGCACGCGTGTACTCACAAAAGCCATCTCTGTGATGCCTAACATCCATTGCCACCATGCAATTAAGCAGTCTAATAACACATTTGACCAACCCACCCCAAAAGATGAAAATAACCCAGATAACATATTTTAAATATTTTTAAATGACAAAATGCAAGGTCGACATCATCTCAGTGGTTTTAAAACACTGAGAAACATTATGAAGCTGCTCTATGTTGCGGGAATATTTTCTTTCTTCTCTATTGGAAACATTTCAGATGTGTACTTTTGCATTAGACATTGCTAAGATTTTTTGCCAGACACAACTGTTCACTCCAGAGGTGAACAATTTCAAGCATCCCTAACCAGCAAAGGCGCTTGGCTTTATTGCTGTAAAACTTTCACATATCCATTTGTGCTGAGAGGAAAAAACAGAAAGCAGAGGTAAAGTTCAGAAATTTCAGTTTCTACTTTCTCTTCCTTAGGTTCTGCCATTACCCACATTAACATCAGAATTACTAAATAATCAGAATGATTATTTTAGAGTAAGAAAAAATTTCACTTCCCTAATTCTACCACTATTCACAAGTTACCAAACTTCAGTTGCATGTGTCTGAACAGAACTAATGGCTATGAATCAAGGCACCTGGAAGGCCCACTCCAGTTACGTATGTGCAGGCTAATATCCTTTCTGTGCCATCCCACTCAACATCATTAGCACAGTCTTCTAAACAGGATACTATTTCAAATATTATGAGTTAAAAACAGTATTTTTAGACCAAGATAAACATGTAACCACTATCTTAAACTTTATTTTCATTTTCTGCTCATGGCTTTAGGAGATTTCTTGGCTACTGACCAGTTAAATGGCACTGCATTGTTGTGTGGATGAAAAGTTTTCAAATTTAGCTGTGCATTAGATTCAGAATTTGTCAAAAAAATTCTGCTTTTCCATACACAGAGATTCAGAGCTGGCAGATCTAGTGGGTGGCCAACGCACCCCAAACAACCTTGACACATGACACAGGCTGACTGCGGAAGGAATGGTGCTGGGACTTCAGAAAGTGCTTCCTCCACCCCCATGGAGAAAAGAAAAATGTGTAGCCATCTTTTAGAACCTGTTCAGAACTTTTGTAGAATGTTATTAAGTCATTCGGCCTATACCTGAAGATATATCCAGGCTTGATCAAAGATGAGTCTTGACTGTTTTTATCAGATACTAGTTGCTATATTGTCTGTTCTCCCACAGTCAATCCACTAGCCACTGGACCAGCTGGAGGAGCATTTTCAAGTCTAGTTAGCTGGTGGTGTTATCTTTCAATAGCATCTGAACTGAAAGAAGCTAAAAAACATATTTTGCTTAAACAGTACCTTGACATATCTCAGTATCATCTAAAGCAATCCTTTTGCTTCTCCACCCTCACCCTACAGGCTCCCGAGTTCATCATTAGCCACTCCTTTGACAAAAATTATGTGAGTTACACGACCACATAGCAATAAGCACAACAAAATAAATTAAATGATAAAATATCATATACCTTCTGATATTTAGTTGCAACTGATTGAATAGGAAATTACAGGTTTGAAGCCTAAGTCTAGGAGAAAAACAAAACTGATCCACATTCTGAGCTCACAATCTATGTAACAACCCTCTAATTTTACAGACATGGAAATTAAAGCCCAGGGAGTGTGAGAGCCTGCCAAAATAAGCATGATGTGACTGCAAGATTACGCATGAGGAAGGCTCAGGCAAACCTGATATTACTAACGTTACAGAACAGAGGTTTGCAGACCTTAGTGACTTATTGATTGAGGAATATTTACAATAGCTCAGCTCTTGGATTTTTGCCTTTCCAGTGACAGGTGAGTTTTAGCTCTGTCTTCCCAAATATCCTTAAGTAGGGCATTGGTAGTCTAAACTGACTTAATACACCCACTTACTCTCGGTCTTCTTTGGAACATTCACTTTCCCAGATGGTTTGTTCGCCCATTTTCATTTGATTTCTAGTTACTCTGAGAGGGTGATAATCTGTTGCTTTGACAAAAGGTGCTAAATTTTCTAGAGAAGTTGGTAGGACATCATAAGACTTCAATAGAAGCAAGAAGCAAGAGATGCTCAGAGGTTCATGATTCACCAAGAAGCTAGACCTTATGCCACCTTTTGAACAGAGAAGAGAATTTAGAGGAGAAATGGAAGGGTAAAGGAAAATGACTCGGGCAAAATGACTGGTATTCTCTTCTGACCAAGGCAGGTAAATGATAAGCAAAGTTTTTACTGCTCTCCCTCGTATTTTTCTCCTTTATTATTGCTAATTGGTTAAACCCATCATTGGTTGATTTATCAAGAAGTCCAGGCCCACTCCAAAGCTGAGTGGGTGAAGTTCCAAGTGCAAATACAAATAGGTCATTAGAATACAAAAGCTAAAATGCCAACCTGCTGGGGTAACACAGGCAGGGTAGCTGTTTCAAAACTACAGAGACATAAGAACCAAACGAAACCAACAAAGGCCATGACCATGAGAGGTGACAGTGAGGCGTAAGACATTCTTCATAAACTAAAAAGTGGGCTAAACCTTCCCAAATGAGAAATATACCATCCAAACAATGTTGTTACAGATATCGGGCTTAAAATGATTAAAGCTATTTCAGCTATGAAATCACCAAATCTTAAAAGATTGGACTGAACTCAGAATCCATTTAGTCAAGTCACTGATTTTGTAGACAAGGAACTCAGGTCAAAGGAGAGTTTGTAAAAGAATATTACTCAGCTAGTCAATGGCAATTAGTTTTAGAAACCTAGTTCTGCTCTCCTTAATCCAGTGTGGAGTCAACTACGTGATTCTTTGTAGCCTCCAATTACATGAACATTATTTTCCTTAGAAGACAGCTATGGATACTCAGTAGTTACTTTCTCACAATCACTGTCTTTAAGTTACATTACAAAAGTGAAGTGAAATTAACACTGAAATATGAATCTAGACCTAATGTTAGAAAGGGGACATTCACAGTCTTTTCCTGCTTTGAGCATCTGTCACAGCTCATGGAAAGCTGGAATGAAGTAGAGAGGCATAAAAGCGTGTATTTAAGAAACAATTTTAGTCCAAAAGGTCTAAAAAAATAATCTTAGGGGAGAAAAAGCATAGTTTTGGACCTATAAGATCTGCATAAATTGCCACCCCAGACTTAGAAAACACAATCATTTCTATGCTGAAAGTTTAATAAAAATCCTAGTCCACATTTTCTACAGCTGGTTTAGTTGCATTAATCTGAGATTTTTAATTTCCTTGGTATAAAAATATCTTACTGATATTCCAATACAGCTACTGCAGTGAAACAGTCATATGTGAGATTGTTGTTCTTTTTTGTTTTTTTAATTTATGACATTGCTGTTCTTACTGCAGAGTTGGTTTGACATTTGTGTAACTTCCTTCCAAACTGAGCATTTTTCAGTGTGGTGACCACATATCTACCTCATGCCTTCCCTGGATTTTAATGGGGGAAGAAACGATACTTGCTTTGGAATGACACACAGGGGAGAAGACAAGTGATTCCCTCCTGATAAAAGGTCCCTGGATGAAGTTCAGTAGTTCCTCTTGTGTCTGACTGTCACCAAATGACCCCATTTCCACGGAGATGTAATCACAGCCATTCTTAGAGGATGAGTAAGTCTCTATCATCCTCCCCTGTGATTATCCCACACAGTCCCCTAGACAAAGAAAACCGATCAAAGTTTAAAATCTTAAAACTCCAATTCCAAGTATTTGTGAATTCTGCAAACGCCTGCCTCTAATTTCTCAGATTTTTGTTGAAGGGAGAAGTGATTCTTTGAAGATGCATTGATGCATCTGAATGTTAAGCTTCCATATTAATTTACAAAATATTAGAGCAGAAAGAGACCTCAGCATGGCTTTAAAAACAAAACCCTCCTCTCATGGTTACAGAAAACAAAGGAGAGAATACACTTAAGTCTAGACTCATTCAGCTGTTCATGTCATGGTTTTATTTTAATGCTGAGCAGTACGCCAGCAGTAAACGTCCCAGGAGAGAGCAAGATGTCACTTTCCTCTAGCTGATCACACACTTGTTTCCAGGTAAGCATCCATTTGATTCACATGACACCAGTTTGTGCCAGGTGGCACTGCTTTATGCTACTAATATGGACATTCATTGAGCAGGTGCTATGGACTAAAACCTGTCACTAAGTCCTGGACCAAAACCAAACCATATTTGCACTCAGTCTCTTGCCTTGCCTCTAAGAGTTGTCACTCTTAAGTCACGATAATGGTCTTCATGTGGCCACTTTCCCTGCACTGAAGACAAGGGAGAAGGGACAATCTGACAAACCCAACTCCAACCTGCTGCTGAAGGAATAACTTGAGGCACATGGCTGGCAGGGGTAAGGTGGTAGTGCTTACCAATGGCTCAGGATGGCACTTTATTCCACAGGCCACAACGGGAGAGCAAGGAAGGACCCCACTCACACACATCTCCTATGTCCTAAGCCTTATGTCTAATCTCAACTGACTCTGCACAAAAAAACAGACAAAACTAGGGAATAAAGCTACTTTTTTTTTTAAACAAAAGTTTGCTTCTATTGTTCTAGATTTCCCTAGCAGCAAAACTTCCACCATAATTCAGAACAAGCAGACTAACCTTGGGTTCAAGCCTTGTCTCTGCCAACAGTAATTATGTAACTTTAGACTTTGGTGGGCCTTTAGCAACTTAACCTATTACATTAATCTTCAGTTTAGATATCTAGACCTAAATTCTTTGATCTCATGTACAGCTGCCAAATTATGGCAAATAAAACACAGGATGTCTAGTAACATTTGAATTTCAGGTTAAAAATGAATAATTTTTCAGAACAACCATTTCCCATGCTATCTTTCATGTGGCAGTCCTAATTCCATGCCATGTCTTTGTCTCCAGGGCAAAAGCAGATATTATGGTCAAGGGGAAATATCTGATCGTGGGTTGAGTCATCAAAACCATCAGTGCCTTACAGCAGATTCCTCTCAGGCAACATGGTGCTGTTACAAGGCTCTAGACCATCCCACTAGTGACTAGACACAGGGGCTGTCCCAGAGAGCTGACGGTAGGGAAAATTCTCTACCTTGACTGGAGTGTTGGGAAAGGCAGTCAGTGACAAATGTAGGCTCCACAATTTCGCTAATTTCTTTCCAAAGCCCAATGCAATGGTTGCTGGAAGACAAGATTTTCAGGTATCTCCAAAAGACAAATTGGGCCTTTTAAGCTGAAGAATAAAAAAAAAAAAGAAGAAGAAGAAGAGAAAGAAAAGTGGAAGTCAGGGAAGAAGGAGTCTGAGGCTTCCCATTGAATAATTATGAACAGATGGGTTTCAAAATATAGCAGAGAAATGGGCATTTGGCTTAGTCATTAAGACAAAGGTTAGGGGGCCCAGCCCTGTAGCCCAGCAACTAGAGTCCTCACCTTGCACATGCAGGAATCCCACATGGGCGCCAGGTCTAATCTTGGTTGCCCTGCTTCCCATCCAGCTCCCTGCCTGTGGCCCGGGAAATCAGTCAAGGATGAAAAAAAAACCTTGGGACCCTGCACCCGCTCCTGGCTCCAGGCTTCAGCCATTGCAGCCATTGGGGATTGAATCAGAAGAAGGAAGATCTTCCTTTCAGTCTCTCTTCCTATCTGTATATCTGTATATCTGTCTTTCCAATAAAAATCTTAAAAAAATAAAAAGACAAAAGTTAGGATAACTGCATCTCACACCAGTACCTTGGGTTGATTACTGGCTCTGGTTCTGGACCCCAACCTCCTCCTTTTAATACAGATTCTGGAAACAGAGGTTAAGGCTCAAGTATCTGAGATCCCACAACCCAGGTGGGAGACCCAGGATGAAATCCAGGCTCCTGGTTCAGCCCCAGTCTCTGTGAGCATTTAGGGATAGTGCCTCCTTTTTCCTCCTTCTGTCTCTCTGCAAAAAAAAAAAAAAAAAAAAAAAAAAAAAGCGCTAATCACTTGAAAACTGATATCTGAGGTTCCAATCAGTTAGTGGCTTGGGAAAGGTGAGTAACTAACCAGTGGTCAAATCTGAGATTCTAGCCCATAACACCTAACTGCAAGTTCAACACTTTTAAAAATGCATTTTTTATTCTTTTTCTAAGGCAAAGAAGCCAACTTGCTAATGCAACATCTGAACAAGTTGCAAACAGCTGAAGAAAAGCTGGAGTTTTTATTCAAGAAGTATGCTGAACTGGTAAGATCTTCGATTAGCCCTTTTTGTCAGAAAGACACAGGATCTGGCTAGAGTTAAGGAAAGGAGACTGATAGTCTTCCATATACTGTGGACCATAATTGGTTACCTTAAACAAGCCAAAACCAGAATTCATAAAAAGAGAATGTTTTCAAGAAAAACAAAATCTTATAAATATCAGCAAAAGGAAGAAATAGGGTTTCTTCTTAGAATTATGCCTATTTCATCTTCAACTATGTGTATAGTTTTGGGGATGGGAGAGAAAAGTACGAAGCAACGAAAAACTATGGATTTTTTTTAGGTCTTTTCAGCTTTGCAATGAAACAAAAATATGTTCACATCCATCTTAACACCTTCCTTCAGTTTTTGTGCCCAGATTTTTGAATGGTTCCCAGAAAATGGTTCATGGCCCATCCTCCTTGAGTCCAGCCCTTTTCTGTTTTAATCATCTTCTATCTACATTTTTCTCCCCCTTCCCTACGATGGCAAAGTATTCAAAGTAGATTGTGTTGTGCAGGACTCTAGGTTCTCTCTATCACCTTCCTATGTCAGATCCACAGAGATCAAGAAAAGTTATTCTCAGCCATCACAGTACTTGAAGGGGGGTTCCACATTCCCATCTCCCATCCCTCATCATTCATTCTCCATCTCCCCACTCAAGACACTCTATAGTTGACCCCTAGGAGAAAAAGGAAAGCATCTAGTGAAGGCTGGGTCTCACTAAGTTTTAATTTACTCTCAAAAGCACCTGCTCATGGGAAGATGAAGTGAAAACAGCAGCCCCGTGCAGATGAGCCTCTCAACTGAGATGTGACATCCTCTTTAACAAAGCCAGGCAGTGTGCTTCTTGTTTCTGCTTTTTTCTTTAGAAACTTATCAGCAAAAGGCATTTAACCTCATGCTTAATATGCCAATTAAGACACCAGCAACCCAATGTTAGAATGACTGAACCCATTCCTAGCTCCAGCTCCTCAATTCAGCTTCCCACTAAGGCAACATTAGGAGGCAGCAGTGATGTCTTCGTTGAGTTCCTGCTGCTTGCATGGCAGGCAAGGAATGATTTCAATCTCCCAGCTTTGGTCTGGCCCAACTCTGGCTGCTGCAGGGGTATGGGTATTGATCAGGTAGCAGCTTGCTCACTCTCCCTTCTCACCTCCCACTCCCAAGAAGTTAGGAAGTAAATATATCTACTGACTTTTCAATTATTTCCTTATTAAGACTTTGTGACATGTCTTCTTTGTTTCTCACTCTGACTTAGGTTCTGTAATTCCTTTTTGTTCTTTCTTGCCTTTTACCTTGACATCCTGTCATACTGAATGGTCTTGCAATTGACACAAGCAAATTCTGAAGCCAAGAGTGACTGGCAGATTGCTTAACAGTGCCAGCAATACTTTTTAATTACATAAAACACAGCATAATGATATAAGAATGCTGAATGCACAGAACAAACAAAAATATTTCCCACCAGCATTGTTTTATGGGTTCACCTTCCTAGTTCTGCTTTGCATAGAGAAATCTGTTTTATCCACCAACAGAGGATATATGCATATATGTATATTTATAGATAAGCAGATATCTAGTTTTCTTGTTTCAAAAGATAGGCACTTTCCTATGTGATTTATATCTTCATGAATAGATATATTTCAATTTGTTCAGCACACTGGCTATTAACAATTCAATAACATACAATAAATTGGGTGGCAAAAGCAATATTTCCCTCCAATGTTTGTATCCTACTCTAATCTCTCCCTTTTCTCCTATCCAACTTTGTTCTTCTTGGTATTTTCCACATCAGTTTTTCTTTGATCGTTCAACTGGCTTCAGACCAATGCCAGTCATGCTCCATTTTGGCTGGGCTAAACAACGTTCTAGGCTACACAGGAGGCCAGGCAGAGCACAGTGGAGAAGGACCCTTCCTCTAGTACGCTTAAGGTCCTTCCCTGAAACAGGATTACTTGAACCTAATCTTAGAGGACTTCCCAGACCTACTCACTCTCTAGCCAAGCAGTGATCCCAGAAGTGTTATTCTTCCAGAATTCCTATCAATCCAATCCTTACTATAATTCCGACAATTCGCTCATCTCTTGTAATAAACTTTAAAAACTAAAAGATCATTGAAAAAAAGTCAACAGGAAAAGAGAAGCATGCCCCAAACTATTACATTTCCTTCTCAGAAAGGAAAAATGATGGGGAATTTGCACTTTTTTTTTTTTACTTAAAACCCAAAGCCTTTTTCCTTGCTCACTGGCCTGGATCTTAGAATACGAAATGCCTGAAATGTTAAGTGTTAATATGGACCAAGTCATCGAATTCAAAGCTGTGAATCAAACTGCCACTCCAGCTCATTAACCCTTTTACAGTAGAATCCTGTAATATTCATCTGCCATTGCATTCATTAATAAATGAATTCAAGTTCATCAATAAATAAGGCTACTTCATGGCCTGGGGGAGATAATTTTTGAAAATGTCCTCAAATTTTATCTAGTTAAAGCAACATCACTAAAACTAAAACTATTCTAACTTAATACTTTCAGTTACTTTTACTTTTTTAACCTGTGGGTAAAAGGGGAGAGGGAACAAGAGACATTAGATAAAAATCCTGTCAGAGCCACATAGAAGAACTTTGCCAAAGTACATTGTTAAACCATTAAGTCAAATTTTCAGACTTTCCTCTCCTTTTTTACGTATGAGGGTATGAATATTTGAAACATAAGCAAACAAATATATGCAGAAAGCAAAAAAGAGAGAGTGCTTCCATGTACTGGCTCACCACCGAACACCTGCAATGACTAGGGCTGCATCAAAGCCAGAAGCTTAGACCTCAGTGCAGTTCTCCTGCTACAGGCTGGAGAGATCCAACTGTCTGGGCCATCACCACAGCCTTCCAGGAAGCTGGAACTGGGAGCAGAGATGGGACTTGGAATCCAGACTCCCTAATATGGAATATGTGTATCTTAGCTTCTAAGCCAAATGCCTGACCCACTAAGCCAGTTTCACTGAGGTTAACTCAGTTGTAATTTATTTTCATTAAGAAGCTCCATGCATTGATATGCATTCATGTCCTTGAGCAAAATTAAAGCACAGCAAGATAAACTTGGCCAAGTTTTAAGTTTGCATGATTTTGGACTAAACCGACACTAAGTGCTCCATGATCTGGCAGAAACCACCTCTCTTCCAACTTTGAAAAAATATATATGTATGTGGGGAATTCCCTTTCTGGCACTCAAAACCACCTGCACTAGCTAGTTCTTTATAGGACAATACACCTGACTCTGGAGATATTGGTGGATGTGACAATTGGGTAGCATTGCTGACATATTGTGGGTAGGGGTCAGGAATGGTGCTAAATGGCCTACAATGCGTAGGACAGCCCCCTAACAACAACATCCAGCCCAACAGGTTGGTGAGTTGAAAACAAGTTGAATACAGTTGAAAAGACTTTATATGTAGTTTATTCTTCAAAAGAAAAAACTGAAACCACAATTGTAAGAATTTCATCTATTTATCTATCTGTTTATCTCAAGAAATGACAACTCATTTAAAACCCAAATATAGCAGGTTTCACCTCTAGCGAGTAACTATGGGATGAAACAGAACCACATTTATACATGGAAGTTTTGCATAAGACATGTACTATGAATGCTATTGATTTTCCAAAAACATGTTCATTTCAATGAATACTTTTAGTAATATGGGTCTTATTTTTCTCCAATGCTAATTCCCACTAATAAGTTGAACCGTCACCTGAGTATAATGGTAGGATACCGCACATTCATAATCTTAGCATAAATGTGAGAAACATTTATGATGGTTATTTCAGTGTGGCACAAAGGAGGAAAGGAGTAAAGCACAAACAAAGAGAGTGCAAAAATCTTGCTCATCCAGCTTATAAAAGCCTAGCATTTATGAAAACAGAAAACTAAGGAAGCATCATGGCTCAGGTAGCATATGTATTCATTTTCATCAGGCTCTGTGAGGCATCGGGAACATTCAGGGGCTGCCCAGAGCTGTGGCTTTCCATTAATCAACAATGTAATTGTCAGGAGAGCACCTGTCTGAGTTAGGCACCTTTTGGGCACTTAGGGAGCTGAGACCAGCAGGGGAAATGGCTCTGTCACCCACTGATGTCTGATCTGAGAGCAGGACTTTCAAAATTTGCTAATCTTTTCTGGTAGCTTCTGCAAGTTGATCCTCATCCCACCCCTACCAGTTCTAGCTGTTGTCAGATTTAGCAAATACAAAATGCAACATGCTCAGTTAAATTTACATTTCATGCAAGACATTTTTTGGGGTAAAATTGCCTCCTTTATGATATTTAGAATACACTTGCACCAAAAAAGTTATTATTTATTTATCTAACATTAAAATGCAACTAAGTGTCATGCACTTGGTCCCGCAAACCTGTCTCAAGATATTAGCATCCTAAAAACAGACATTGGTGAGTGATCTTATTTGATTTCATTTTTTATTTTTCATGTTACAGTTCCATAGACTAAGGGTCCTATTTTACATACCCTCCCTGACTTTAGTTCTCGCTGCCAAACGAGTGTGGGAAGAACACACCAGAACTCATCGTGATTGATTCACCATAGCCTCAGGGAACGTAGGGTGGAAAGAGAGCAGGGAAAATGACAGGTTTTTGCCATTCATGCTGCTGAGTTGAAGAGTACCTATTTCTGATGCTCCTGTGAAAATTTGCCAATGCTTAAGGAACTGAGAGGTATTTCTTTCTTCTCCTTTTCCACATGCAAATAATCATCATTTAAAGCCTAAAATTATATAGAGGATTCAGTTTCTGTTTACTACACAGAGGACATTAGCTGCTTGGCCGCTCTGATTTTTCACATCAGTGCTACATGCTTGCTTTGAGAAAGAATTACGAAATCTGGATGCAATCCAAGCAATCCCTGTGCAGGGCATGGCCTCCAACCATGGAAGGCAGTGTCATTAACTCTGGCAGTTTACAAATTTTCTGTCAGATGCCTTTATTATATTGGCTGTATAGATTTTGAAATATATTTTCCTGAGATAGCCTCAATAAAAATACTTCTAAAAAAAGATAAGAGATTAATAATATTGATGATGAAAAGCCTAGAGATGCTGTTTCAAAAACTGTTTTATAAGTAGTGTGAAGGTGACGCCTGTAATGCTCATTGCTTCCAGAGAAGTAGAAAATAGTAAAAATCTGTTCAAAACAACCACAGGGCAATCTTTAGGTTTTGCTCTTTTTTAAATCAAAACCTAAGACATCCCTACCATTTTCTTCCCCATTTGCACCTTTGTGTCTAGCTGGATGAACATCGCACTGAACAAAAGAAGTTAAAGCTCCTGCAAAAGAAACAGGCGCAAATCCAGAAAGAAAAGGACCAGTTACAGAGTGAGCACAGCAAAGCTATCCTAGCTCGAAGCAAACTAGAGAGCCTGTGCCGGGAGCTGCAGAGACACAACAAGACGCTGAAGGTACGTGTCACCCGGGTTCAGAACAGCACTTTTCTTGCAGAAAATACTGAGATGCAGCAGTCGAAATCAATTGTCCAAGATCTGCAACTTGTGGAAAGAATGTGAGTTGTAGGATCAGGGTCTCGGATTCGCATGCTACCCTGCCACTTATTTGCTGGTGACCTTCAATCAGTTATTTTGCTTCCAGGAGCTAGTTTCCTCATTCATAATGTAGGAATTGTATTAGCTTCATTATGTGATGGAGGAAAACTTAAATGAGGTCCAACATGTCAAGTGTTACTCTGACCTTTTGATAATTATGTTTTTAAAAGATATGTCATGATTCTACCCTTCATAAAATATTTGTAAAAATTCAATGCTTTGATATTACAATACATTCTTCCTGAAAATGAGATAATAGAGACAAAGCTAATTGACATGATAAAGTAAGACTGAGAGCCAAAATGTCAATGGTCATCTGGAAAAAAAAAAAGCTACTGAAAAAACAGAGGTGCTTCAGACTTAATTATTTAATCTAAAAATAATAGACTGATCACTTTGTTCAGTCTGCATGGATTTCATTAAGTAGAGGACAAGCCCCTGGCACAGCGGCTGATTTGATTACACACAGACGCTAGCTCCATCTAATAAGACAAGAAGCAGGGATAATACTACATGGTGGAGCACTCGGCCTTCCATTCTTCCATGCATACCTTCCCAAGCACACTCACCAACTTGGCTAAGAGACTATTGTGCATGAGGAACAGGGATTATTACTCTAGATCTCCAAATTGAGTTCTCATTGTCATAGTTTGAAGGGAAAGAAATTCACTTGAAGTTGCTGATTTTTTTTTGTATTAAATATCATCATACATTTTATCCCATGGGCCTAGCAGTTAAGATACTGCTTGGGATGCATGCATTCCACATCAGATTATCTGGGTTTGAGTCCCAGCTCCATTTCTGATCCCACAGTCCTCCCAACTCGCACCCTAGCAGGCAGGCAGCGATGGCTCAAATACATGGGTGGCTGCTACTCATGTGTGAGACTTGGATTTACTTCCTAGATCCCATTTAGGCAATGGCCCAGCCACAGCCATTGATATCACTTAGGGAGTGAACTAGTGCAGGAGACTTCTGTCTGTTGATGTTTAAATTTAAATGATTAAAGAACATTTATCATTCTACAAATCTATTTTTTATTCACACACCATATTCAACTTTTACAAAATATTTAACAAGATACAAAAAAATACTATTTGCATTGGCAGTTTCCAACTAAAAATTTTGGCACCAATATCCTGTGTAGTTATTATTTTATAAAATATTTATTTATCTTTATTAGAAAGGCAGGTTTATAGAAAGAGGGAGAGCCAGAAGGCAATATCTTCCAACTTTTGGTTCACTCCAAAATTGGCTTCAACAGGTGGGGCTGAGCCAATCAAAAACCAGAAGCCGGGAGCTTCCTCCAGTCTCCCAACGTTAGTCAAGATTCCCAAGGCCTTGGGAAATCTTCTGTTGCTTTCCCAAGGCCACAAGCAAGGGTCTGGATGGGAAGTGGAGCAGCCGGGCCATGAACTGGTGCCCACATGGGATTTTGCAACTTGTAAGAGCAGGATTAGCCAGCTGTGCCATCACTCCAGGCCTTGTGAAGTAGCTATTATTACACATACTTCAAAGGAGATACTTTAGACGAAAAAAAGGAATTAAAAGCATTGTTGAATTTGTACACTGAATTAGGAAGAAAAATGGAATATTCAAATCACTTTTTGGTATTTGGGAAATGAGAGGCCACTGTTAATGAACAGTAACTCTCAAGTGACAAGTTCAAGGAGAAAGGGACCTGGAACCTTCTCACACTTGCATGAAGGACCACCAGAAACTTGGAGAAGGGGACACTATCGTCAGTTCAAGACCAATATTCAAGTAATTCTTTGTGTTAGTATAAACCTTGTGATTTTTAGTAATGTTTATAGAGAGGGTATCAAAATAAAATCAGGATGAAAAGTGAGGCAGCGACTTTTCAAGGAAGGAATGATGAGAAATGGTCTCTGAATAGCATTCAAAGACAGGATGACAGAAATGGCGAGATCCTGTAGGGGTACCATGTACCTAACGGACAATGACATGAAGTGCCATTAGTATGCCAGTGGTTCAGTGCTTTAGTTATTATGCCAGTAGTCCAGTGCTAAGTGCTTTACATGTTATTTCAGTTAATCTCTTCAATAAACCTAGCAGGCTGATAGTCCCACTTTATTGCAGAAAATACCGAGATACAGCAGTTGAGATCAACTGTCCAAGATCATGCATATTTTAAATATCAAAATCAGGATTCAAACTCAAACTATTTTCCAATTTCCCTGTTGAATTTGTCTTTGATCCATGAGTTATTTAAAGCATTATTTAATTTTTATGGCCTATCTTATCTGGCCTATGTTGATGGCAATACTTTTTATTTGCAAATTTGCTCAGATGTTGCATGTAAAGTTCCATAAATAACAACTACCTTTAAATCACTAATACTTTTCCTGAATTTCATCAACTGGTGAGGATCTGTGTCTCAAACATCCTATCTGCAGATTTGTCCACTTTTAATTATATCCATTTATGCTTCATGTATTTTCAAGTATTGATATAATTTTGTTCATACATTTACTGGTTATATTTCCTTGATGTATGAACAATTTCATTATCCCAAAATAGCTGACATGAACAATTTTTTTGTGATGTGAACAAGATCCAATACAAATCCATTCCAGTTTTCTTACTATTTGTAAGATACAATATTCAATCTGATTCTTTAAAATATTATTATTTTTTAAAGATTTATTTATTTGGAAGTCAGATTTACAGAGACAGGGAGAGATAGAAAGAGGGACAGATCTTCTGTCTACTGTTTCACTCTGCATATGACCCTAACAGCCAGGGTGGGCCAGTTCAACACCAGCAGCCAGGAATTTTTTCCAAGTCTCTCACGTGGGTAACAAGGCCCAAGCATTTACACCACGTTCTGCTGCTTTTCCCACCAGGTCTTTAACAGGGACCTGGTAGGAAATGAAGCTGGAATTCAAACCGGTAGCCACATGGGACATTGGCACTGCAGGCAGCAAATTACATTCTATGCCACAATGTTAGCCCCTAAGTTATTCTTATAGATGGCATCTTGACAGGCATTGCTTCATTTCAATATTATAATGTCTGCCTTGCAATTGGAGTACTAGTCCCTTAACATATAATGCAATTATTGTTGCGATGGGATATGCACCTAACATTTGATTCATTATCTGTCATTTCTGTTTTCTATTTAGTGTTCTCTTTTCCCTTAGATAATTTCAATATACCTATTTATTTATTTTTAAATTTATTTACTTTATTGGAAAGGCATATTTACAGAGAGAAGGAGAGAAAGAGAGAAAGGTCTTCCATCCGCTGGTTCACTCCCCAAGTGGCCATAACAGCCAGGGCTGAACCAATCCACAACCAGAAGCCAGAAGCTTTTTCCAGGTCTCCCACGTGGGTGCAAGGTCTCAAGGCTCTGCAGCATCACTGCTCTCCCAGACCAAAAGCAGACAGCTGGATGAGAGGTGGAACAGCCAAGACATGAACTGGTGCACAAATAGGATCCTGGCACATGCAAGGCAAGAATTTAGCCACTGAGCCATCGCACCAGGCCCGATTTCAATATTTTTAAATACTATTTTTAAAAAATGTTAACTTCTCTCTTGGATGTTTAAATCACACCTCTTTGCATTATCTTTACTGTGACTATAATAGACATACACAACTTTTCATAGTCTACCTGAAGTTAACACTATATCATTTCACACACTGCAAAGAAATGTTTATTTACAATCCTGACCTCTAAGCAAGGATCACTGCATATATATGCACACATGCATAAAGCCCATGGTACAATGAGGCAATTTTTATTTTAAAAAACCATATTCCTTTATGTTTCTTTGAAAGTTAAAGGCAGGGACAGGCTTATTGGCATAGCAAGTTATTTCACTGCTAGGGACCCCACATCCAGTCAGAGTGCCAGGTCATACCCTGGCTACTATACACTTTGACCCAGCTTTGTGTAATGAATGTTGGAGGCAATGGAGAATGGCCCAAGCACCTGGAGTCCTGGTACCCAGGTCGAAGATGCTAATGGAGTTGCTGACTCCTGCCTTCAAACTGCCCTAACTCTGGCTATTGCAGATATCTGGCAAGTGAACCAGTGGATGGGAGGTGTTTATCTGGCTCAACCTCCTCTCTGTCACTCTATCAAATAAATAAATCTTTTTTTAAAAAAACTAAAGACGGGTCAGCATTGTGGCATAGCACGTTAAGATGCCACCTTGGGAGACCAAATCCCATACTGAGTGCCAGTTCAAGTCCCAACTGTCTCACTTTCAATCCAACTCCTTTCTAATGTACCTAGGAAGGCAGTGGAATGAAGCCCAAGTGCCTGGGCCCCTTCCGCCCACCTGGGCTGCCCAGATGGATTTCCTAGCCCAGCTCCAAACATCCAGACCATCTGGAAAGCAAACTAATAGATATAAGATCTCTTCCTTTCATCTCCTTCTCTCTCAGTCATCGTGTCTTTTAAATAAACAACTTTTGAAAATAAATATTAGGGTCCAGTGCAGGACTCTGGCAGCTAATGTCCTCGCCTTGCACGTGCCAAGATCCCATATGGGCACCGGTTCATTTGCCAGCAGCCCCACTTCCCATCCAGCTCCCTGCTTGTGACCTGGGAATGCGGTCAAGGACAGCCCAAAGCCTTGGGACCCTGCACCCACGTGGGAGACCTGGAAGAAGCTCCTGGCTTCGGATTGGCTCAGCTCCAAATGTTGTGGCCACTTGAGGAGTGAGTCAGCGGATGAAAGATCTTCCTCTCTGTCTCTCTTCCTCTCTGTATATCTGACTTTCCAATAAAAGTAAAATAAAATCAGTAAAAATAAATTAAAAGTCTTTTTAATTTACATAGAAAGTTACCTTCTGATTCTCTTCTTTATCCCTAAAGCTTTAAATTT